GCGTGATAGTGGGAACAGAATAACAGAAATGGATAGAAAAGCAGTAAAATAGATTTGCGGTAGACACATTAAAGAAGGAATTAGTCATTTCATGATATTTCAGAGACGCACGTAGATTTGAATCACAACGTATTCCTGGAAAAGACATCTCCGACAAAAAAACGAGGCAAGAGTGAGAAATGCACTGAAAACTCCATCGGTTTAGAACTCGAGCCACGATCATTTATTACCAACCTTGCTATCAATTGAGAATCCATAATTTTCTTTCGATCGAGTGGCACCACTTAGTGGTCCGTTCAACAAGCAAGGTTATCGCTACCTTAGAATTACTAAGTTCTATCTGACATTTTTGACCGTTGAGAGTTACAACGACCATCGGGTCAAAAAACAAATCTTCTATCTACTCTATCAAAATCGTAAGATTATTCCGAGTCGTTATTAAATATTCAAAGAATTACTTTCGAAAAACTTGATATGTTATGAAAATAACATTTTTGACGTCAAATTAATTTCTCGAAACTAGGTACTAAGCAGACCGAACTTTGTAATTCTAAGGTAACCTTATGTTCCGAGTACTTTCTGAAGGACACTCGTATAGTGACCTTATCCAGCAATGATGCAAAGAACAACAATTCGGCCCTTCGCATGGATGATAATGATAATTATATACACGTGCTTTAGGTGCAACACAAAATGTCATAATATTTTCTTGCGAATAATCTCTTACTCCTAATACACATTTGAGCCTTAAGATTTTATATACAATATAATATGACAATTCTGATTTGTCTCTTCGAGCAATATTTTTATCAAAGAGAAAGGCTGATGTGAAAAGACACTTTTCCTTTGCACAATTTTTTCCCCTGCACGTCCCAGATAATTATTATAAAGTTCTAGGACATTTTTTATTATACTTTCAGTTTCATTCTTCTTTCTTTCCCTCAAACAAGCAACACTCTCATTTGAACACATTATGAATGACAATTGGAAATTTCCCAAATCGAAAAACATGGTGCGCAAACAGTTAGCCTTGATAGAAAGAACGAGAAAAAAAGTCAACTTCCTCTTGTTGGCTACCTTTATAATACAACAAGCTGGCCCCCCTTTCGATGAAAGGAATGGTCGGTGCATTAAAATCAACTGAAAGTCATTGGTCTACTATATTAACACGCTTCTGGAATGGAGCAATATATCTTGAGAGGAAAGTGACACATGTGTTTCCAAGTTGCCAAATATATAATAGACAAATGAGTATAGAAAAAGTGATGATGGGCATCAAAGGAAAGGATCACAGTCGAATTTAGAACCAAGTAAAAAAAAAAAGAAAACATGAGGCTAGATCTATACGGGTTGCACACTTAAAATAGTGCTCAGTATAGCGCTACAATGCGCGATAGTATCGAAAGGAAGTACGACTTGAAATAAACAAACCTGGCGGATTTTCTAAAATTACAGAGACAGAAGCGTCATCCTACAAAAGCGATCGGCGAAATAAAGAAATTTAGCTTTTTGCAGCAAAACTGTCTCAAAACTGAAAAAACGAAGGATGTCATGATCTGGAGAATATTTTAAAGAATCTTTTGGCGAAAACCGCATGTAGAGTGATGCAGCCTTTAAAAAGCCTTTTGAATAGCAAAATTCGGCCACCACAAATAGATAATAGATACGACGACATGGTACATAGAATATTGTAAGTCATCCCATTTTTCGACTCAATAATTAATCTTTTTTAACAACAACAACAACAACAACAACAACAACAACAACAACAACAACAACAACAACAACAACAACAACAACAAAATGGAACAGATTGCTTGTTAATAACTTGGTCAGAATGATTAAGACAAGGGTAGCGATATTTCGACGGCATGCCGTCTGAAGATCGTAGTTGATATTTCCACGGCATGCTGTCTGAACATCGGAAGTGATACCTAAACGATGTGCCGTCTGGAGTCTAAAGATCGGAATTGATATTTCGACGGCATAGGCTCTGCTTGAAGTGTATGAATGCAAGAATTATGTTTGTTTTTAGACGACG